TACCTGCTAGCCAAATGTTGAACTACAGTGGACTGGTCTTTGTGATTATAGGGTGAGATTCTCCTGTACAGTCATGATTCCTGCAAATTATAGCGCATGTGACGAGATGTGGATTGAAGCGTAGCCAATGCGGCCTTTTCTTCACCAGTGATGAAATCCGGAGCTCGTATTTCTGGGAAATCAGCCTGACTGCGTTCCAAGCTACGCCCCATCACACGCCCTATCCTTTGCAGGATTAATGGCTACAAGTACCATGCGTATGGTGCACAGGATGTGAATCAGTAAAAAAGAGTGGTGGACTCGAAAACAAATCAAGCACTGTTCAATCAGCTGGATTTAGGGGCTCTTTGTTCTCAATGATTAAAAGTGAAACCGGTGAGAGAGACAGAATGACGGATAGCAAGGCTGACGTAGGTTTCTTCTGCTTCAAGCACTCCTCATCTGCTTGAGACCGTAGCGCAGAGCTCTCGAAAGAACCCTTGATTCATATTTCAGCCTTTTATGCTTTCATGTTCCCCCAAGTCAAAATAGTATTCGTTACTGTGAGGTAGCAAAGGCTAACCTACTGCGAGTTACGGTGGGTTAGAAAGGACTGAGGTTGTACACTATGACTGTCTTGGCCCTCTAGTGAGTCAACACGCCTACTGGAAGAGCGCTCGTTCTTCGCCTCTTTCTACTGGGCGTCCAGTTTCTTCGCGCCATTCTTGAGCATTGCTCGAATCTCGCCAACTACTCAACTACTCTAGGGCAAAGCTCGCGATCATGCTCCATCACGGATGGTGAATTAGGTGTCCGTATATAGACGACAAGGTACTCAGTAACTCGATCGTGAAGAAAAAGCAAAGAAACAGCTGATTCCCCGATAGCCCTAGGACCGTACAAGCGACGATTTGCTTTTTCGTCTTGCAGCTTCGTTTCTCACTGGAAAGCGGAGGCTGGAAGCGCCGTCTGTCTGGAGAAAAGGAGGCGTCACTGAATCTATACTGCGCTATAGCCTCCCCTCCCTTACAATTTTTTGCTGCGAAACCGGTACAAGGTTGTTTGTCGCGGACCACACTACCCTCCGACGCCATATTTTCAACTTCTATACCTGATCGCGGACCGCGCCTCTAAGTATACAGATACCCGAATCTTCAGCAGCTACTTCAATACATCGTTGCCTAAATTTAGAAAAGCGACAATGACACAGAGACAACACGCCTAAGAAGCGACGAGACGTCAATCAGGGAAGACTCCATTAGAGAACTGGACGAAGACAATGATAAAGACGCTACTCGTAAAGGGAACAAAGGAAAGCAACGAATAATGTTAGTATCTTGCTTTCTTTTAGCGGGCTTAGTGATTCCAATATAAGAGAAGACAGAAGGAACTGTCACTGTAGCTCTGGGAGCGTTTGTAGAGAAACTGTACGGTCAGCTCCGGGGATGGTCTTCGC